ACCATTATTGGTGTATATATATCTTAAGGTTAGTGGGAGTAAAATTTTAACTCTATATGTTGATATTGTGTTGTTTGTCATAAGTAATCTTTGATTATTACATGAAACCAAGTTTCTCTGTATAAATATTAAATCAAAGATATGGTGAGACAACCTATGTGATTGTAATTTAAATATCCCAGATCACATAGATTGTTTGGGTTGTCTCATAAAGCATATATAAGAAGAATTCTCTAGAGATTTAATGTGAAAAATTATTTAGCTAATGTTACTCCAATTTAAGTAAAAGGAATAAGTTTAGCAGTAAGGATGTCCAAAGAATATAACAAATTCCTTATGTTCTGTTGCACGATGTTTTATGTATGTTTTTACGTGTATAATGTTAGACATTATTCTTGCAGTAGGTAAATTACGTACATACCAAACCGATCCTAAAATGGATTATTTCGAGCTTACAAGATAATTACAAGGTATGAATGATTATATGCTCATATTTAAAAAGTCTAATCATCTAGTGGTGATTGGCAATTATGAAAGTTAAATTGTGGTTTGCTTTGAGGCTACAATTTATGATTATGGATTTGAAATTCTCATCTCAGGACTTGTAATTGTCAACTTTATGGCCTAGCCGCCGGAAACTTATCATGATAATTTCGCATATGTTCTTTTAGCTAAGTGTCTATAGATTGCAAATCCATTAAAGAAAGTGTTACCAAAGACATTTAAAGATGTTAACATAATGAGTTTTGATTGTAGCTCATGATGGTTGTTCACTTAATGTCGTGAATTTTGCATAATGCTTATTTATTTGACACCTTCAATTCTTATTCGAACTATTTATGATATTACTTGTTTTTCAATATACTTACATGTATGAGATTGATTGAATGATAACAAGAATAGCCTTCGGCACAAGACATTATTGTCGAACCTTATTATATACACTTCTCAGTAGATCATGTTAGACAGATTGCTAATGTTGCGGTACATGGAAGTAACTATATCGTGTTAATGATATACAACCGCCATGACTCTTATCAGTGGATTGTTTAATTGTGATATTATGATGACCAAATTAAAGTAGTGATGGATTGGATTTATTGCACGTTTATGTAAACCTTGCTAGACCCAATTGTAAGATAATCATATGCGCCAAGTGGGAGAATGTAAGAATTAATGTAGCCCACTTGATTTGACACATGTGATTTTACTAAGTATTATCAGATAATTAATTTGAGTTAGATAATGATAAGATTACTGATCCTAATCTAACTGGTATAACTAATAATTTTTTATTGGTCAATGAGAAGAAATGGTTTTCTGATATCCTATATTGATGGGAAGTAAAATTTATGTTGAACTAGGGAATCAGTCCTCTCTCTACCTATAAATATACACATGCCTCATTGAGTTGTGTATCGTAAGAATAAAGGCCAGAAGAGAGAAACCGATTTCTAGGCTACACCAAAGGATGGTTCAATTCTTGTTCAAGTAATTTAAGGTTTGCAATTCTGGTTTCAGGCATGTTGATTAAAATGTTTTAATTTCTCATTATGATTATTATGAGAAAATGAAAATCATGATTGTTTTAGATCTTGGAATTAGGGTTTAATTGATCTCTTTGATCAAATAAAGTTTACACAAGACACAAAAGGCAAGGGAGATGGTAAATAGGATTTTGAAGAAGTTGTCCAGTCTTTTTTATTATAGAAATTAATTGTTGGGATGTTTATAGACACAACCAAAGCATTAAAATATAAAGAAAATGGATGCCTAACTGAAATCTGTAATAACAAAGAAATAATTTCGAAGGTAACTAATTTTTGTAATTAAATACATGTAGTTAAAGAAATTTGGGGAGCGAGAGACTGAGAGGGGGACAGTGAAAAGGGGTGTGCTCTTGTTGAATTTGTGAATTCACAGGCAAGAAAAAGATAGAGAGATGAAGAGGGGGAGGTGAAGAGCAGGGTCTGTAAATTTGCAGGAGAAAGAAAGAGAAGAAGGAGAGAGAGTATGAGAGAGGGAGAAACTATAATCGTGTAACGACTGAGAAAAATTCGCAGGTTATTAATTAGCGACTTTAAGAGAGGAAATAGGGAGAGAAAGAGAGAGAAGAGGGAGAGAGGTTAACGGCTGCGAATAAGTAATGGAAAGCAATTAACTCTCAAGGATATAGATGGCATAGTTGCAATGTTAGAGGACAAAATTGAAAAAAAAAAAAATTTTAACATATGCTGGTATTTTAAAGTAATATAGATAAATTTTGTGGTCAAATGGGTCATAGGAAGCTATCACCTATAAATACAGTTTGCTGCATGCCTGAGAAAAAAATTACACTTCAACGTAAAAAATGTAAAGACTCCAACATTCATAAAGAAAAAAACATGATAAATGAGCAAATTACATCCACAAAACAATTAGCTAAGACATGCTGTATATGGAGTTCTACACTCATGCTTTAAGTTCAACATATTTTGCATACATATAAGCAAACACACATACACACACATAATGGAAGTGGTATAGGAGAGAAAAGGTATTTCAAAACTCATTCTGGTTCAACGGATCAATAAATTTTGTAATGATCTGAACCAATTTTTATCCTAAGCTGGAGTAAAATAATCCGTCAAATGACTACTTATTTTATTTTGAAATGATATGAACCACTTTTTTGTTGGAAATAATAGTATATTTATTTTTTTTAAAAATTATTAAGTCATGTATGAGAAATTATTAAAATCTTTGTGACTTTTGGCAACAATTGAAAAGGTTGTTAAAATCTTTGTGACTTTTGGGAGCAATTAAAAGTGTATGACGTGAATATGACATGAAACACTACTAATTCAAAATTGATGAATTTTCATTAAAAACACTAATCTAAATAGTTACATCTTTTTATAAAGTCACAATTAACCCATTTTGGTTAAACGATACCATTACAAATAATCACAACTTTTCATAAAGTCGTCATTGATATCTCTTGGACTGAAAGAAACTATTTCAAATAGTTGTACTTTTTCATAAATTCACCGTTGATATCCTTTGGATTAAAAAGTACCATTACATATGGCTATACCCTTTATGAAAAGCCACTGGGGAGACTATAAATAGGTGATTTCTTGCACTTCCTCTCTCATTTTAGTTCTCTCAATTATTCAAAATACTGAATTAAGTATTTAGTCTTTCTTCTCTCTCTCTCTCTCTCTCTCTTTGTATATTGCTGCATTATTATTTCAAGTTCGGTTCATGTATAAACATAGAATTATGTTCGTTAGAGTCTTGGAGATTGACGTGTTGCATCTTCAAGAATGAAATTCGTTCTATCTTGAAAGACAGTTGCTTATCAACCTCAAGTACTGAGAGGGATAAAATTTGTCTTAACGAAACTGTGATTATACAAGGTTCGGATTGTAGTTTTTATTATTGAATTTCTGGATTTCTAGATTTTACTATTCGTGTTGTTCTGCGTCAATGTAAGTGATTGATTTTGATTTCTACACATTTTGTTTAGAGTAGTGCATAATTTAGACTTTATACAGTTTAATATAATCTAATTATATACACATTTTTTCTATTACATTTTTATCTTTGGGATTTGAATTGTCTTTTCCCTTATTATATGGATAGGGAAGTATTCATCATCAATCACTTACACTACCTAAATTGCCACCAATGCATGATTGATTATGTTGTATGAAATCATCTCCTACCGACTTTTTTTAATTTACATGACACTTTCCACAAAACAATAGGGAAAAGGGAGAGAGAGAAAGAGATGAGATGGATTATTTCCTAACTATTTAGTAATATTACAATTTCATACCTCTTGGTATTTTCAAAACTTCTAAATAAAGAAATATTTACTATTTTTTACATCAATTACAAAAAATAGCTTATAATAGAAATGGTTCACGTGTAACGCACGTGTGCACAAATTAATAATCTATATAATAAATTAGCTAGTTTTGTTTGTCTTGGACTTTTCGTAGTTCAGATAGTTTGAGGATTGTTGATCCGATAATCCTAATTGAAGTTTCATTCCTTTTAAAACTCTAAAAATCTTATCTCATACACTCAACTCTCATACATATATAACTCTCTTTTTCATAGACATTTTAAACACACTATCTCATCTCTCATACTCTTCTCTCTCTCTCTACCTCTCTCTCTCTCGGTATATATATATATAATGAAAGTCTAATCGGGATTCCATGGCTCAGATAATTTGAGAATTATTGATCTGACGATCTTAATTAGATTTTAATTCCTTTTAAAACTCTAAGACTCTTATATCTCATATAACCCTCTCTCTCTCTCTCTCTTTTTATCTCATACACTTAACTCTCATACGTATATATATATCTCATAGATATTTTAAACACAGACTCTCTCATATTCCATACCCTCTCTCTCTCTCTCTCTCTATATATATATATATATATATATATATATATATACTATTAATTATTCGTGCCTAAAGGCACTTTGTAACTTAAAAATTAATTTAAAATAATTTTTCCTTCATTTGCTTGAATTAAAAAAAAATCAAAATAAATATAACCTCTACTATTTTTTCAAAAAATTTCATCAAAGTTTTCTTTGAAAGGAATTCAAGAAAATCTCAATCTTCCTAAAGTGACATCAATTGCATTATTGCCCAACACAAACTATTCAATCTCCCAACACAAATCATTTCATAACCAATCTCAAGAATAAATTATTCAACCTAACTTAAAGACAACATCAAATTTTATTCACTACATAATCCAAGCCAAAATAATATTTATATCATAATTACAAAAGTCATACCCACATGTAATAAAGTCCAACCAAAGAACTAAATCCACATAAATAAGAATCATTTGGTTTGAATATCCCATATTTTGGAACATTGGTCAATAATGAAATTATAACCTTTACCAATAGAACTAAACCAAGTCATTTCACCCATCTACCAAGAGAACTGTTGAGTCTTTTTAGCCTTCCATGAGTCTGTGAAATCAAGGCCTTCTAACGGGTACAATACCTATTGCTGCTTCAATCCCTTCATTCACCGCACTCACCACCGATGCATTGGCAGCGCAATCAATGCAACCAACTACAATCATTAGTATAGAAATAATTTCAAAACTAAATTACATTTCAAACGCAGTGGATTAAAACAAATATTATAAAGCCAACAGTTAAAACTTCATGGAGTTTCTTACCTCCAGCTAGAGAGTACACCAGAGAAAGATTCCTGATATCAACCACATCCTAAAGAGAGAGAGTTAAAAGAGTCACTTGAAGAAGACGGTGGAAAGTGAGAGGTTCAAGGTGGTGGTGTTGGAGGGATTGAATTGATAAGGTACCTCGAAGCTCGCACCACAAATGAGCTTAACCCAGTTGCCTCTTTGGAGGGATTCGTATGGGGAAGTTGTGATCGAAGGAACTCCGGTCTTTGTTAGAAGGTTTTTCACTTTTTCAAGGCCTTAGTTGTTGCCGTGATTGAGCTGAGTTGTGACTGAAAAAACAGAGGAATGAAATGTGTATTCACACGCATACATACATAGAGAGAGAGAGAGAGAGAGAGAGAGAGAGAGAGACCTTGCAGTCGTGTATTAAAGGAAGCATAGCAATAGAAACTGAGAACCATCCGGGCGTAGACGAAAGGATATCCTCTAAAATGATATTAACAACTGAAATTTGCTAAGGTGAATTTTGATACTGTTAAAAAAAAAATCAGACATTTATAACAAAAACCAAAAGCACCCATCAGATAAAAATCAGACATTTATACACAGATCTCCGAAATGGGTTCTTGAGTTACTGCAAGTAGAAGAAGGGGGTTGCTGGGGGCCAGGGGTGATAGAGAAAAAGAGCAGTGGAGAGAGAGTCAGCAACGGTTTGTGTGTTGAGTGTTTTTATGTGTGTTTTTTGCGTAGAGAGAGAGACAAAAGAGGCATGACTGAGAGAGGAGACTGAGCGAGGGAGAGAGAGACATCACATGAGAGTAAGAGACAGAGGTACAAGAGCAATAGAACTCTAGACTTGTATATCAAAAGAAAGATTTATTCAAATTTTTGAACGGGTAAAAATAAATTCAACATCAATTAGGATTACATAATCAAAATTTTAAAAAAAATTTTGCCAGACGAGAAAAAAAAATTTAGTATTCACCGTAGACTGTTAGATCAAATTTTTTGAGATGATCTGAACCGTCTTTTATGTTGAGATTACATTGTCCGTTGAATGTGTTTATGTTTTATCTCAAAACGATTTAAACATCTCTTTGTCTTTGTCTAATTATGATCTTCAAGACAAATAATGTTATCTCATACTCTCTCTCTTAGCTTTGTTTATTTTGACGATCCTAAGTAGACTTATTTATTCAAAATATTTGTATGATTTTATAGATGAACAAATATTTAAATGTTAATTTTTTTTTTCAGTTATAGACATCCAAGTTAATCACCAATAAAAAAATAACAATTGATACCAAATGCACCAAAAAAACTAAAAAATTCAAAGTCAAACTAATTACCAATAAAAAATAACAATGACCAATAACAAAATAAGTGAAACTAATTGTACAACAAAAAATATTCAAAACCAACTATCAATTTTTTTTTCCTTATTTGTATCGTTTTAACCTTACTGATGTTTATATTTTTTTGAATACTTGAATAGTATAAAATAGATACCGAAATTACAAAAATGTCAATTAAATCAATTTTTTTTAAGTGGTGAAATTTGAATTTTATTGATTTGGTTTAATTGTAGCGTGGAATATTTCCGTAGCATTCGAGAAGTCACAGTAGCAGAGAATTTTAATCAATATTATAAAATATATATAATATAAGAATATGAGAATTTAAGGCACAGGTAACGACTAATTATATAATATGAAATATGCGTTTAAGTTATATTTTATGTGTGTGTATGCATTAATGAATGGATCTTGACTGTGGAAACGAGTCTAGCCTCAAATTCAAATTCTAGCACAAGTTCGAGCTCGTTCGTTTGATCAAACAAGTCAAGTAGAAACAATCCCAAACTTAAGCTTGAAAAAAAATTAACGAGCCTAATTAGAATAAAATTTTAAAATTTTTCATGAGCCTGAACCAAATACACATATGGCTTGGAAAGGCCAAAATCACCCTTCCATTTTCTCTTAGAGCTTATTCTTTTCAAGGACTAGGAGGGCCAATCAGTCTTTTGATTGACGTCGTCAAATCAGTTATTAAAATGAGCCAACCTTAATATTAGGTGCGTTTCAGCATGAAACGGCGCCGTATTCTTTGGAATCTGTTTGAAATTCTTATTCAGCGATTAAGAGTCAAATAAGTATTACTAAGGGTTTGGTATTATGCTGATTACTACCATTTACACAGGGCCGGCCCGAGCCAAACGGAGGACTTAGGTAAATTCTTGGATGAGGTTCCTTTAAATATGATTATTAGGATAATATTTTTTATTAAAATATATTTCTTGTTATTGAGATGTCTACTTACAATTTAAATTTATGTATTCAAATCCTTTCGCATATCATTTCGATTTATAAAATTCATTCAAGAATTAATAGTTAATAGAATTGTAAGAGAGGGATTTGAAGTTCAATACTAGAAACTCTAGTGATGTTTACGCTATCGTGACAATAGAAAGATGCTATTAAAAAATTTAATTTAAATTTAAATAAATTTAACCGATCAAAAGACCATCAAATTCTAAAAAGAAAAATCAAAATACATATTTTTCAATTTGATTAAAATAGTTGGAAATAATATAATAAAGAAATAATTGCATAGTTTTGTTGTACATGATAAATTCCAAGACATAAATAGTATTATGATTAATACAATGAATCTCATGTCAGTACAAAACTCGTACACATAAAATTTGACTTCATTGAACCTACGTCTATAAAAAAAATTAGCTACTTGATAAACAAAATTTGATTTAATTGAACATTGATCTAATAATTTTATTTGGGACCTTGAAAACAAATCTAGATTTAATTAAACTTGAATCTAAAATTTTTAAAAATAATTTAAAGTTAAGTAAATCTAAATATAAAAAAAAAATTGAGACCCTAAAAAATATGGGACCCTAGGCCACGGCTTCGATTGGCCCTGCATTTACCAAGAGGAAAGATTTAATTGTCTTAATAAAAATATTACATTATTTTTTGGTGTTTCTATGAGAAAGGTATGATTTATTTATAATTTCTCGAAAATTTCATGTATAATAAGTAATGATCAAAATTTTATTTCGATGCACTGTTTTGGTTACCAAAGAAACGAAAATATTTTAGAAATAGTTCGAAAACATATTAAAAATGGAAAAAAAATAAGAGTTTATTTTCAATATATTTTGAAACANAATTTACCCGAAAGGAAGAAGAAAACAGGAACAATTTTCTACACACTCACAATCAAAGGGTCCTCCAAAAAAATAAGAGGGTGTGTTTGCATTGTAAATTATAAGAGCGTGTGTTTAAATTGTATCTCAAAAAATAATATGGAAGAGGTATAAAAGTCATTCCACACCAACAGATCACCAACAATACCACTTCCTTTGCCAATCACTAACATAGTGTGTATATATATATAAACATGCAGATCTTTGTTTAGATCTAAAGATATACACAAATCGAGTTGCTTTGGAGATCTTCGACAATGCTGGATCCAAAGAGGACGAAATTTGATATGTATATGAAAGCAGAGGACAAAGCTTGACGCTAGATTTGAAGAGGACGAAACTCGATCTTCGATGATGAAAGGACAAAGTTCAAAAAATGGGTGAAAATGCTTCCGACGAAGTTTAATGTTCATACTTCATAAAGGAGCTGTGTTTATCGTGTTTAAAATTTTTTTGAGGATCTTGTTTGAGTAAAAACATGTATATGATGTTCTCAAAAAAAATTGAAAATAATTTTCAAAAAATAGCAATCCAAATAATATTTTTGTGTTTTCTTGACATTAGGTTCATTTTAACCGAACAATCCGAATAATTTTCAAAAAACAGCAATCCGAACAATGTTCAAAAAATAGCAATTTTTACCAAACAATCAAACAAACGCATATTTTTAACCGAATACCACAAACCCACAAAAAATCTGGTATTGTGTATGGAGTATCCCATACAGTTCGGTTAAAAATAAACTAAAAATCTGAAGGCACCAACGATATACCACAAACCCACAAAAAATCATTGGTGAAAGTGTGTGATGGACAATCGGTGAAAGGGGAAGAGGGAGGTACCTGGGCTGAGCTGTCTTCTGCCATGTGTATGCGAGAAGGCAAAGCGACTGAAAGGAGAAGAGAACTTAGCCGTAGGACAACGATCTGTGTGATGGACAATGTTTGTGATGGACAAAATCGGTGGTTGCTGTGGAGGATGATCTCTTCGAGCAATGGGGTCTGTGTAAGGGGTCTGTCGCCGCTGGGTTGAGCCATGAGCCATGGCAGAGGAGTGAGAGGTGACGGGTGAGAAGAGAGAAGCCGTGTAAGGGTTTGGGTAGAGTGCAGGGGTGGTTGGCGTAGAGGGGTTGGATTTCATTTGGGCGGGATTTTTTGTTTGCGTGAGATGGAATGTGGGCATTAAATCCGATTGAAAGAATTAGATAAAAGGGTTAATCTTATTTTGCACCTCGAAAGTTCGTTCGAATCTCAATTTATATCTCTAAAGATCAAAAATTTTAATTTGTNTCGTCTCCTTAATCTATAAAAAGGTCATTTATTCAACTTTTCAAAAATTGCAAAACGCTCTGATTAAGCATGTGGAGAAAGTGGGCCAAAAGTGTAGTTATTTTTCTTTGATACAAGAATCAGAGATATATGAACAAATTTACGCGCACATATTCCTTTGAGATCACAGTAGCACTGGTTGTGGCCGCAATTCCAAAGTGTTTGCCTGCAGTGATCACCACCTGTTTGGGACTTGGCACCAGAAAGATGGCACATAAGAATGCCCTTGTTACGAAATTGCCTAGTATAGAGACTTTGGGTTGTACTACTGTCATTTGTTCCGATAAAACGGGTACTTTGACGCATAAAGTCTTCCTTGGTAATATTTACATTTATATTTTTGTCGTCACTCTAGTGGCTTTTTTTGGTTCAATTTAAAGTACAATAGTTTAAGAAAACGATTCTTCTTTGTAGTTTATTTTATTGTTCATTCTAATTTCAATTTGCATTCAATTCCTAGTTTGTTAGCTTAATCTTAGAGGAAAAAATTAAGTTCTTGATCTCTAAAACAAAGAAAATAATTTAAAGGTAGTCTTATACTTTGNACCCTCAAAGATAGAAATTTGTATCAATGTACACCTCCAAAGATCAAAAATCTCAACTTGCACCCTCAAAAATAGAAATCTGTATCAATGTGTACCTAAAACTAAATTGATAAATTATACCTAGATCCCCTCATGTTTATCACTCAATCATTTGAACCCTTNCTAGAATTTCCAACTTGCAAGAGGAATTGTCTCCATGTGGGAGGCAAGAAAATTGAGAATCTGAATTAGAGTCGAAGGCTTCGATTATGGCATTTTTCCAAGAAGTTTCTGAGAAGGTATCGAGATTCATCGCTGGCCTGGAAAACCTGATAAGAGAAAAATCTGGCCGTATTAGATAAACACTAGAGTAGCTATTTGAAATCTTGAACAAACAAGGGCTCGCAAAATAGAAACTGTCACACCTAGCAGTTGCACCAGTGGAGGCATAACTAGTGCCTCCTCCATATTTGCTACCACTTAGGGCGCAACAAGTCGGGAATGTCTAGTGGAGAAACAATAATCCTCTTTTTTAGGAGGATATGTTGCCCATTCTCGAGGTAAGGGCAAAAAAGGCAACCACCAAGTGTTGTTCTAGCGGCACCGCTGGTGATCATGAATAGAGCTCAACTAGACAAAAAACATAACAGAATTCATACCCTAATTGGGTGGATAGAGAGCACAAGTGGCCGTGCAATTACAAGGTTTTGACTTTGCCACATTTTCGGGAAAAGACGGTCAATCGACTATCGAACATATTGGTCGCTTCACCCAGGGGTGGCCCAAGGTAAATCGAGGCCTTAGGCAAAAACTTAACATGGAGACATATTAATATTTCGGCTATTAATACATATTATTTTTATTTATTATAATTTAATTTTTTTTAAATTGATAATCTACAAATTGGATTTGCACACCATCTATCAAATGATCAGTAATAAATGCAGTAATTAAGTAGGGAGACGTAGAGATAAGACAAAAATAAGACATGATTTATAGTGATTCGGTCAATGTAACCTACGTCTACTTTGAATGACTAGGATCGACAGGTACTTTATTACTTCAAATGAGTAAGAAGAGCAGAGAGTTACAAGCTTAGAGAGATAGGAGAGAGTTGTGATCGACTAAATGTGATGCCCCTCAAGTGTTGGCCAGGCTTACAATTTATAATCGCCTCCTAATAGATTGAAGTGACTTATTAGTAACTAAATAGCTAATCTGGTAGAACTGGTGACCTCTTCTCAATGGATGAGATAGTTACGGTGCTTTCCATAAGATTCAGTTAAAAAATGAGATGGTGCTTGACTTCTTCCAAGGCGGCGTGGATGAGGCTCTTGGGATGACCCTTACTCCAAGGTAGCTTGGATGAGACTCTTAGATGACTCTTACTCCAAGGTGGCTAGGAGAAGGCTCTTGGATGACTCTTACTCCAAGGTGACTAAGAGGAGACTCTTGGATGAACCTTACTCCAAGGTGGCTAGAAGGAGACCCTACGTACTCCCTTAGCGAGCTTGATCGATTGTGGACTCCTTTGGGATGGATAGTGGATCTTTATAAGTTTGGGCTTTTAATTAAGACTGGGCTCGTAGCATGAGTTGGGCCCTTATGTCTGGACCATCATTTGTCCCCCAATACCCCATGTCCAATGAAACTTGGAGAAGGGGGCATTTGGTTGAACCTCTTGGCTGGCGGAGAAGTTATGCAAAGGTTTGCGAATCTTGGTGGGGAACTCAAAGAAATTGGTGTGGTCCCCGAAAGGAGGAGGGAGGCGCTAGGCACCGGAGTGGAGGCTAAGACCCCGTTGCAATCCACGCGCGGGGGCTGTCCGATGTGGACTTAGGCTCCATTGTCTGTGCAATGGCAAGGAGAACTTGCTAGTTGGGCGCGCAGGAGGAGCTGATGCATTGTCTGGGCGCACAAGAGGGGTTGTTGCACTTGTTAAGTGTGCAGGAAGGGCGCTGGGCTAGCCTCGTATAGGCTGCCTGCTTGAGAGCAAAGCAGAGATAGACCAACCTTTTGGCGACTCACGAGAGGGCTGCTAAGCTAGAGATAGGCTGTCTGCTTAAGAGCAGAGCAGAGATAGGCCAAACTTTTGACGACCCATGAGAGAGCCACTAAGCTGAAGATAGACTACCTACTTGAAAGTAGAGCAGAGATAGGTCAAGCCTTTAATGACCCGTAAGAGAGCCGCTAAGCTAAAGATAAACTGACTTTGGGGCTGCCCACATAAAAATAGAGGCAGAATTTAAGGGTTAGCCCATGGGAGGGTCACAAAGCCGGAGGCTCATTCCAATAGATTAAGATGAAGAGGGCGCCTAAGTGCTAGGTGCCTGGGGCTGGGCGCCTGCTGCTGGGCACCTGGTCTTAGGCGTCTGGTGCTGAGTCTTATTGACAATCCCTCTCCTCAAGCGGTGTGAACTCAGCCATAAATTATGTTAATGTATGTGCCTTTGTGGCTTTTTTCTTAAAGTCAGGCGCAGGTGGTGATGATGATGGCGAGGACTCACCTCGCCTGGCTTTGGTGACATCCTTGGCGTTTATGTGTTTTTAAGCTTTTGCCCACAATTTTGGAATGCTCTTTGGTGGGTGTTTCATCATTTAGAAGAGAAAGCTAGATGAGCGTAGACCTCCCAAGAAAGCGGACGTGGTGACCTTGTCATCGAGCTCCTCAGTGTGAAGGACCTCCTCGTTAATACGAGTGAGGTAACTTCTCAGACTTTCATCCCAATTCTCATTTTTAATGAGCAGGTGGGTGGCAGGCTTCTCGTGGCGACGCCTTCTGATGAAGTGTGACATGAAGGACCTCCTTAGTTCGGCCAAGGAGCCAATAGATGTTGGGATGAGCTTGGCGATCTACTATTGGGCTGATCCCTTAAGAGTAGTCGGGAATGCCCTATACATGATTTCGCTAGGGACATTGTGCAATTGCATCAAAGACTTATAGGTGTCGAGGTGATCCAGTGGGTCTTTTGTGCCATCAAATGCTTCCACCGATGGCATTCTGAATTTCTGGAGAAGTGGGTTGTTTGCCACATCGGCTACGAAAGACGTGTCTGTTCACCTTACGAGGTAGTCCACAGTCTCGGGTCCTTGTACCTTTATGGCATTGAAGACGTCGCCTAGTTGATTTTTCACCTCTTTGATTTTTCTGTCCTAGTGATTGGGGACTCCTTCAGAATTGTTATGAAAATGACTCTCGTACTCCACACTTTGATTCTTGCCCTTATCCTCTTGGAAATGAAGGTCTCCACCATGACAAAAAAGGAGCTAGAGGAGGAGGTGAAGCTGCCTTATAGTTCTGAGGAGGGGCTCCCCTATGTGGGGTGCCCAAGGGGGCTCCAAAGGGGGTGTCCAAGTGGGGAGTTCCTTGACGCCCAGGGCATGGAGCTCCATTGGCTTGATGTCCTCCAGGTTGTTCTCCGCCTTGTTGTCGAGCAAGCATCAGTTGCAAGATCTGCTGATTCTGAGCTACGAGTTATTGTAATGTCTTCAACATCTGTTGTGCATTTGGAACATGATTGGTTGGTGGAGGAGCAATCTCCTCCTCTCATGGTGGATTGTCTTCAGGATGATTCATGGATCTGGTGGTGATCGCCATAATTACAATAGGAAAAGTGATTAGGTGAGAATTTTGTCGATTCCCACAAACAACACCAAACTGATGATGCACAAATAAGGTTTGCACACCACCTGTCAAATGATCAATAATAAATGTAGTAATTAAGTAGAGAGATGTAGAGATAAGACAAGATTTATAATGGTTCGGTCAACGTGACTTACGTCCACTTTGAATTGTTAGGGTTGCCGGGTATTTTATTACTTCAAGTGAGTAGGGAGAACAAAGAGCTACAAACTTAGAGAGATAGGAGAGAGTTGTGCTTGACTGAATGTGATGTCCCCAAAGTATTAGTGAGACTTACAATTTATAGTCGTCTCCTAACAGATTGGAGTGACTTAATAGTAACTAAATAACTAATCTGGTGGAGCTGGCGACCTCTTCTCAATGGATGAGATAGTTACGGTGCTCTCCATAAGATTCGGTCAAACGATGATGTGGTGGTTGACTTCTTCCAAGGCGGCGTGGATGAGGCTCTTAGAATAGCCCTTACTCTAGGGTGGCTTGGGTAAGGCTCTTTGATGACTTTTACTCCAAAGTGGTTAGGAGAAGGCTCTTGGATGACCCTTACTTCAAGTTGGCTAGGAGGAGGCTCTTAAATAACCCTTACTCTAAGGTGGCTAGGAGGAGGCTCTTGGAGA